TAACAATGATTAGCTGAGCTGGAAAAAATCAAATGAGCCTTAGTCAAAGGCACGAATCATGGGCAGAATCACGGAAGACTAAAGGATACGAGGAGATCTGGAAAGCGGCCACATTTGGAAGATCCAACAATCAAGGAGAAATCAAGTGAAGCAATCTTCTGCTAAAGGAAAGCAATCAAGAGAAGCAACGGCTCATTCCTTATTCTTGGAAAGAATCAATTCTTTCCAAGGATCAAATCTCTTGGGTTGTCAAGCCTCTACCATCCATCAAAGTATTTATACACCCTTGTAAACCCTAGCTTAGACATACTTTGATCAAACCAAATCACTCTCTTTATTCTACTTTAAACAAGCATTGTAGTTCACTAAGATCTGCTGTGCAACAAGTCAAGGATAGAAAGAGAGCACACAACTGGTGAGGCATTGTATCAAAAACGAGTGCTAGAGAAACTGAGCGATATACACCACATCTGTACTCGGAAGAAACTCATTTACTGAAGAGAACTCCCTTGCAACCCAAGGGGACTGGATTAGGATTCACATTGAATCCGAACCAGTATAAAAATTCCGGTGTTTTTAATTCCTGCAATTATTCTCTGCATTTTACTTTCCGTTACCATATCTGCTAAATTATCATATTCAGCCGACTACTCAAGTTTTAAGTCAACTTATAAGTAATTAATTGGAAGTATTTACAATTCACCCCCCCCCCTCTTGTACTTTCAATGAAGTCTGCGGGGATGAGGTTACTGTGATTCTTGAGAATGGACAGCAATACATAGGTGATCTTTTGGTTGGTGCTGATGGCATATGGTTTGAGGTGTCGAAAATACATGCACGGATATGCCACAAAGATGGAAATTCTTTCCCAATTGATTTACGCAGTAAACTAGGTACCTGGATTTTAGATAATGGAGGTTTGAATGACACTGAATTCATTGACACTAGGCAGAAACTCGAGTACTGGTGTCACATTGAGATCTTGTCCTTTGCGGAAAAAGACCATTTCGAACCTCGTGCTACTTGGATACATACAAAGGTTCTATCTGTTGTTGGGCTTCGACAAGATGAAGTCGATGCCGTGGTGTCTGTCATGAAGGTTGAAAAACCTCCTTCAGAGTTATATGCTGATTTTGGTGGATTAGACGCGCAGAGTCAGGAGATTAAAGAAGTCGTTGAGTGTCCTTTGACTCACCCCAAGCTGTCTGAAGACATTGGTATCCAGCCTCTTACATGGATCGTTCTCTATAGAGAGCCTGAAGTTGGCAAAATAATATTTGCAAAAACAGTTGCTCAACCTTACAAATCAGTCCAGCTTCATGCTACAAAAGCTGCTAAGAATGCTAATGTGGTCTTGTCCATTGTTTCCAATTTGAAGCTATTGGCATCAGGTGCTAGAAAAGCTATCCTTGGCATATGTGGAACTGTTGATGTAATTAAGATAAGTGAAGAGGAGAATTACTTTTTGGCACAAGGAGAAGATTCACATTATAATGTTGTTGTTCCTAAGTTGTGCCGTCCAAATCTGAGGTTACTTGTCATAAAAGGTCGTGAAGTTTGTTTCCATTATACCAAAGAATTCTGTGGACGACTTAAGGTTTTAAAGCTGGATTCTGTGGGCATCTTCAGTGTTGGAGATGCTTTTGTATCTAGAAGATTGTTACCACTAGCATATGATATCTCTCTGCACCAGGATGACAACAATCTAAGAGAGGCCCTCAAGTTTAACTTTTCATTTGATGTGCTCAAGAAATTTCATCATGTACTTTGTCTATTCAACTGTCGTTTCTTGTCTAGATTTCCATTGGATGCACCAGTTATGATTCTGGAAGACTTTAGCAGCATTGAGGAGGCAAATCAACTTATTATTGGCACATTTCATGTTACGCACGAATCAAGTGAAAAGAGAGTTCACAATGCTAATGTCACTTGGGATTCCTTGTTGAATGTTATCATCGTCTTGCGGATATTTCTATATTTCCTCCGTTGGATTGAACAGGAAGACAATGATGACATCTCTCTTGTTGCAACAACTCTCGACAAATGTTTGAGTCTTGACAAATTAAGTTGTACTGTTCTGCAGCTTGACACTACTGAGATACTCACATTGATCCACTCGAACCATGAGGACAAGGTTCTTTTTGAGGGCGGAGAAATTGTTATGAATCAAAATGACCAAAAGACTAAGGTTGAGGGCACACTTGGGAACTTAGCAAATTACATTTGGGACCCGGGTTAGATGGAGCAGATACCTATATATACAATAGGATACATTCTATTAGGCAGATGCTATGAACTTGGTTTATTTTAGTTTCCTTAGTTTCTTAGAGGATAGATCTGGAACCTCCCTCCCTTCTCCCTTTTTTTATTTCTTCTTCCTATGGAAGATTTGGTTACTTGTTTTAAGTATTTGTAATTATTTGTAGATGGACTCGTATATTTGTGTATGTGATTCCTGTTATCCATTTCAATATAATATGGGTTCACTACAGTACATGAGTAGAGTAAATATTCAATGAAGAGAAATCATATCTTAAGACATAAAATATTCAAAAATTCCTCCTGATTAAGGTTTTCTTAATGGGCATGTAAAAGAGAAACACCACAGATAATTTGAGACGGATGAAGTAGTTTCATCCATTTTTCTATAGGTCACAGGTTCGAGCCGTGGAAGCAAGCACTAATGTTTGCATTAAGGTTGGTTGTTTACATTATATTCTTTGATGCGGTCCTTCTCCGAACCTTACGTGAATGCCCAGACTCCATTTTTTTTAGTGTCATCCATTTTCCTAGCTATTGGTATTTGGAAGGCTATCTTTTATTTAATTACATTAAAGATTCTTGTAATAAGCTTTTCCTAAATTAACTTTTGTAAACGCCGATAATTTGTGAGTAGAATTGAAGTTGAAATACAACTTCGAACCATAAATTTAACTCGATTTTTCTGAAATTTTACTTTCAAGTTATGTTCTCAACTTCACATATAAACGTCAAGCATGCAAGCTAAACTCTCTTAACGTAAAAGTGAAATTAGCAAATAAACCTAAATATACAGTGGTCAATTAAATGAACTTGAGCGACAAAAAGAAAGGCTAGACATATATGTTCATTTTTCTTTTATAATTATAATAGTAATGTCCAGACCAATTAATGCGCACCTCAACAATTTTATTGGGCATCCACAATCACAAATATAGTACATGATAACTCTATTCACCAAGATTTAGATAGTAAATTATACGCAAATGTTTAACGGTTCAATCGCTAATTTTGCATCTAAATGTGGTTTTACTTTGATTAGATTTGATTTTACATCATTACTTTTTCTTTTATCTCTAGAATTTTATAGTAGTTTCAAGGAATTACTTCAAGTTTAAATATCTTATACGGAGTATGTGATACTTTCACTAGTAGAAGAGAGCTCAAAAGGCCAATTATTAAAGAAACTTAAAGCACAAATAATTCTTGTACAGTTTGATGCATTGTCTGTTTCACATACAAAATCTAACATTGGTATGCTGTTAGTACATCATAGAAGAAAAAGAATTGCACCATTGATAATAGGTGAATTTAACTATAATCACGCCTTAAATAACCACCTTCTTGTATAGTTTTGATGATAAAAGTGATAACAAAATGCTCTTATTAGTGCTTTTCATGATTTGCAGGTGATATATGACCAGGGAAGGCAAGGGAGTACTTTTGGAGTCAAAAATGAAGAAAAAGAGGCCAACTGTGAAATTCCCCAAGTAAACCACGCAAAACAGGCCTGATGATTCAGAGAACTGTGTTGACCGCGGTGGAAGAGAGTTGCAGATAAAATGAGATTCAGAGAAGGCATTTGGCCGCGGTTTGACCGCTACCGCGGCGGAAGCAGAAAACTTCAGGGACTAAAGTGTAAAATACGGGATTTTTAGACCTAAACCCTAGTTTAAATACGAGACTTCGCCCAAGAGAGACATATATTGAATTTTAGAGTATCTTGGCAAGAAAAACTATTGTGAGAGAATACCCAAAAATATAGTTCTTCTTTTCTTTGATTTTTATTGCTAGTTATGATGAATTCTATCTTAGTTTGTTTTCCCATAGCCATGAGTAGCTAAATCCTTTGTCTAAGGCTTTGATGGAACCTATTGGAGGTTGAACATCTTGTTTATGTGAATACAAATTGCTAGTTTCAATCTCTATTTGTTCAACTTTGTGCTTGTTGTAGTTAATTGGCAGGATCCTCAATTAGATGTGCCTATTTAGTGTGCATAACTTGGAAAAGAGTGCATATTTAGGTTCTTGTTAAACAACACCTCTCCCAAAGTATAAGAGGAATCTATAATCGCGGGTTTAAAGGCGGGATTAGGGATAACGAAGCCTTGGGTGTAACCTAAAGTGAATTGTGCTAAATAAAGTAAGCTAGTGTATCTCGGGAGAGTGCAATTAGTATATTACTGTGATTACTCGGGAGAGATTTACGGTAAGATGAGCGTTCATGATTGATAGAGATGTGTTGGTAAATTTATATGAGCATAAACAGAAGGGATTCCTTCAATAAGGAAAATCATTGCCTTAGCTTCTTCTCATCATTGTTTACAACCTTAGCATTTTAGTTTACAGCTGTTTAATTTACTTGCAATCGTAGTAAGTAAAGCGACCTTCAACTGTAATTCAAGCATCTGGGAAACTGGTTCTGAAGAGTTTAGTGGGTCTAAAGATAGTGATTGATAGGTTAACTCTCTGTGGATTCGACCCTGGGCGTAATACTCGGGTTATATTTGCAACGTCCGCTTAGTCCTTTTTATAAGGCATAGTTGGGCGTGATCAACCATCATAAGCTTCATTGAAACCACAGTACTCAAATTCCTATTCAATTTTCTTCCTTTTTCCCCCTTAGGGAGAGAGGAGAACCAACTTTTTTAGCTTCCTCTCACATTAGGGGTCGTCGCCAGGGGCGGAGCTAGGGTAGCAGAAGGAGGTTCAACCCCTTCGTCGATATTGCACTGTATATATAAGGTTAAAATTAGTTTTTATGCATAAATAGCAGATATTGAATCCCCTTGCCATGTTCGTGTGTTTACTCTTTAATATTCTGAATCCCTTTGGTAAAAATTCTGACTCCACTACTGGTCGTCGCTACCAATTGTTCTGACCTTGTTGTTCATGTACAAGTGGGTCTTGTTCTGAGAAAAACTGGTCACTGTAGGAACTGATGAGAATCCAGTATACCTGCCCTCTATCTTCGCCGAGCATATGTTAGAAATGTACTTGAGAAGCTCATGGCTTTGGACAAATGGCTGAGCTGCATATTGTTCAAATGGCATCCACTGCAAGTATAAAGAAGAACATGAGCTTGGAGCATGAAGCTAACAACTGCTTATTTCATGCATTTGAACTTTGTCTGTAATACAAGTTTGCACATAATTTCTTTCTCTTTTTTTTATTTATATTTATTTAACGTGGTATCTAGGTCAGTTCGAACGCACCTAAACTATTCCATCTGGAACCTACTATATCGTACCAACAAATACTTACTTGGCTTCGATAGATGGAAAGAAGTCACCTAATGTTTTTTATCTATACTGGAACTCGAGCCCTGGTCTCCTATGGTTTCACCCACTTAATGACCGCTAGACCACACCCTTAAGTGCTGGTTGGCTTTTGGACAATATTTGAATTAAGCTTGAAAAAATAGTATTTCAAGTTGAAGTTGAAAAAGAGGATTTTGGATGTTCAGTTGTGGTTGAACATGAATTTCACTTGGAAAGAGTTGAAGTTTTGAGAGTTGAAACCATTATTTCACTTGAAATACTCCTTAAACCAGCTTTTCAAACTTCAAATCCTGTATTTCAAGTTCAAATTGAAATAATGGACCTTATTGCAAAGCAAACTCTTATTTGATTTTTTTTCCCCATATATTCCAAATACTATATATGGACAAACGGTCTCACTAGTTCACTAAGTTGCGCAGACTTTTCACTTGTGGTACCGCACCCGTGTCGACACGACACCGACACTAGTATGGGTGTGACCACGACATGACATCAACATTAGGTACTTTGACCACATTAGAGATAAGATTTGGTCTTTCGATTTCTCTAGACAAAAGCTATTGTAGATTTCTAGATGGCTGCGTACAGCTTCATAAAAATTGAGTTTTACGGCACTGCACAAGCTACATATAAGTTTTTCACATAATGTCTCATAATTTAGGCATATTTCTATAGATCTATTTTTTGATATAGCAGAATCCTTGGATCCGTAACTCTAAATCTTGGAATTTAAATCATGAAGGATCTGACCCCTAGATCCAACCCGTGTTGGATACCCGCGTACCTGAGCAGCGACTATCTCCGCATCCTGCTTCTGGATATCAAAGGAGAGAGGCTTTAGCATGCAGACAAACATCAAATCTGACTTGTCAAAAAATGACTTATGGCTCTGTCTGCAATTTAATAAAGTCATCTTTAGTACACAAACTATCTTACAGTGTGAAATGCAATAAGGTAAACAGAACAAACATTGTATGGAGAGAGCAAAGGTTTCATGTTCATATGTAGAAGACATTAAAAATATAACAGAAACTTAAACAACTTTTATGTGAAAGACAACCTGAATGCCAATATTTCTACCAACTTTGCATTAACCTGTATCAATACAAATCAAGTGATTGTGGTTACTAAATATAGAATCAAACTTAGCATATGGAATAACAAATTTTATTTAAAAACAAGGTAAAAATGAAATCGGAATTTTTACTCACCCCTGTCTCTTCTTTTACTTCTCGGACAGCTGCATCACATATATCCTCACCCTGTGGATGAAAATCGACATGATTGATAATATTCGTGCAGCGCGAGTTTTTGTTTATTTTTATGTTTATCTATTCAGTTACTTTAACATTCTCATACGGCATAGAAGTTATAATTCAGATATACCTCATCAAGTACTCCTGTAGGAAACTTCCACATACCGGTTCCATGGAATCGGCCATTCTTTTCTTGGACAACTAGCACCTAAGATTTTTCAAGAGAACTATTAATTTAAGTGCTTCAATAACTAATATGTACTATAATATCTTTAAAAATTTATTGAATATGTACAAATTATTAATTTAGAATCCAATGAGTTAAAAGGATTAGAATTCTGAATCCATAAGCTTCAAATCCTAGCCCCGCCTCTGATTGGTATGGATCGAACCTCCTCCATTTGCTGATCTTTATCAGGGAATCAGCCTCCTCCATATTGCTGTTTTTTTCTCCCACGAACTCCAGAACCATTTCCACGCCAGAGGCTTTGTTAAACACCTTCACGTACCTACCTCTAAACTATTTTCCCCTTTATGACGTTATTCTGCCCAAATAATTCCATAACATTGTCCATGATAACTCTAACGTTGGATAGAAATCTTGATCAAACATGAACATCTTGTAAACTTGCCAAATAACAATGACACTATGCTAAACTTTCCTGCTGCAGGTCACCTAATAGTCAGGGCCCAAGAAAATAATCCATGTCTTCCTTTTGTTTCCTAAATAAGTAGAAAAAAAGCCGTGTAACCATCAAGAGAAAGAAAATATTGATTTTATGTTATCCCGTTTTCTTGTCCACTACAAGAAGGAAAACCATCAAGAGAAAGAAAATATTTTGCTGATCGTCATTTGTGCTCTCTTTTTAAAGTAGTAATATTATCTATGCAATCAATTAATGAAATAAACACATATAATCATGTACTTTGAGGTGCATAATGACCAAAATGGTCCATCAATCTCATCCCCACAACAACAAAAAAAACTGCATTTCATGTGCCCTCCGTGAATGAGGAGCGTGTAATTGTTCTTCTCATAATGTATTATAAAGATCGGCCTCTTTCCAGACGTTTATCTTACTCTTAATAGCTTTTATTAAAAGAAAAAAAAAATACAAAAAAAACTCACATTCTTAGAGTATGAATTATTTATATATAAGCTATAGTATTTTCTTAGTACAATATAAACAATAGTGTAAATATTGGATTTTTTATTTATTNGTTGGTCCTGTTCGCGGTCTCGCTTTCAGTTAGAGTATTCAATATTCGCTATTGTTTTAGTTGGTTCGCTCGTGAACTTTCATAAAAAATTTGACTAAGAAGCTTCATTGAGGTTAATCTTATTTCCTTCTGCAATCTTTTTAAGGATACATTCTGTGCCTATTTGTTTTGCTTTACTGCCTTCACATTTAGTTTTAGATAAGTTTATTTAGTACCAATATTTTACTTCTTGTTTCTATTTGTTTTGTTTACTGCCTTATCTTTGCTTTAGGCAACTTAGTTGGTAGTATTTCGCTTCTTATTTAATTTTGTTGTGGTCATGTGTTAGAAATTTAATTTCATTGTTATGCATTTATTTTTAAAAAGAAAACAATTTTAAAATAGTTGAGATTAGAGATATTTAGTAAAGAGAATGAGGTTTGGACTTAATTTAACCAAGACTTATAGTTAGTAAAGATTCTGATCGTTTGGTTTAAGTGGAAAGTCAATTTGTTAGGCTAGAAATTAAAAGATTTTTTAAGCTTAAAATATTTTCCATGCCTTTTTCTTCTCATTAGCACGTTCATAAGCTTTATAAATAGATTATAGGGTTGGAACATTAACTTTTTTTTAGCATCTTTTCTGATAAATTCATGTAAATTAATTCACATCACCTCTCCCACAATTATTTTTCATAACGTAGCCTCGTAATAATCTCAAATTACTTTAGGAAATAACTCTAAAAATACTAGAAAAACTTAGATGTAATTTAAATAGTAACCCATGTGTTCTTATCGAATCTTGGATTAGTTGGTTAATATTTTTGTGATAATGTTTAATTGAATTTTAGTTCTAAAAGAAAAAAAAAATTAAGTTCATGTAAACTTTTCCAAAAGCTTAGCAATAAACTTTAGCAAAAAGAGCCTAACTTCCCTCTCCCTCACGTCCCATCTCACCATCCCTCACGTCCCTCACAGCACACACTCACGATCCTCCCCCACTTTTCCACTCATCTTCTCCATGAACACACCTTAACAAAGAGATTTTACTTGCATATATATACACACTTTGAAGACAAGTAGAGAGGGGGAGAGAGATATACAAAAAAACAAAATTGGAAAAACTATTCAACACCTTTCTTCTTCACACACGAAAAAAAAAAAGAACAAAAATACCTAGACCAAAAAAAGAAATCTCTCAGCCTCACCGGAACGAACAAGAGGGGCACGAATTGAAATTTCAGAGAACTTTGTTTCTTGGACATTTTGTTTGAGAGATAAAATTGGAGTCTCATAAAGGAGATGGAGTTTAGTTGATTTGAGGTGAATTTGCCGTTCGAAGTCCGTTTGCGGTTCCGTCGTGTCAAGCAGATTCCAACCTGAGTTTTGTTCGCGGTTTGTGATTTGCCTCCCTGTTGTTTTGTTCGTTCGGATCTTTATTTTGGTGAAGCTGCTTCAGAAACTTTCTTTTTTCATATACTAAAGAAATCTGCCTTACAGGTTCCTTCCTTTATTCCTTTTCTATTTTTTCATGTAATTTGTGTGTTTGTTGATTTCTTATCGTTTAGTTTTTTTTTTATATAATTGTGGTTGGCTGTTTCTTCTCCAACTTCTGCTATTAGAATTTGCTAGTGTTCAAATGAGTGTAAATTTGATCTGATTTCATGTTGCGATAGAACCATTACGATGAATCTGTTTCACTATTTGAGGTGTGCTCTTAAAATTAAACAGTATTGCTTGTTTCCTTCATCCATTATCAGTATGAAATGAGTATAAAAGTATTTATATTAATCCTACAAAGGTTTTTCTTGAGTATAATGAAATTCAGCAAGTCACTGTTTTGAAGTTGGAGTTTAACTAGCACTTCAAAATTCTCTATTAATTTCAAGTCACATGCATTGGAGGAATATTCACATGGTTGAGTTCAAGCAGACATATGTTCTTTCAAATTGAGTGAGCCATCGTAACGAATTTTCTTTGAGTTTCATTTATTTATTATTTATTTATTCTCACTTTTATTATTACATCATTAGGAGTATGTTTAGGCCGACCACACCCGGGTAGACGAACCTTTAGGCACGTTTTGAATTTATTACCGTGATTATGTACATGTTCGCGTGACATAATTATGGTTTCTAAATGAATATTCGTAGCTTGCTTTAGGCACGTTTAATATACCATCGTGGTTGTGTACACGTTCGCGTGACATAATTACGATCTTAATAAAACAAAATCGGAGTATGCGTTCGCGCAACTCCGACTAAACTTTCTTAATAATAATAAAGCGTGATTAGTTGTGGATACGTACGCGTGACATAATTCTTGACGCGTCAAACAAAAGAGTACACGTACGCGTGACTTGTTTTAAAATTAATACTTAATTATGAATAAATCAAGTGATTAAAAGCGGTAAAAAGGTAAATACACATATGTTTTAAAATGAGTAGTTAAACAATTTAAGCCAAGTATAAATTGCTAAGCGACCGTGCTAGAACCACGGAACTCGGGAATGCCTAACACCTTCTCCCGGGTTAATAGAATTCCTTATCTAGAATTTCTGGTTCGCAGACTTTTAAATAAAGTCGAAAATTTCCTCAATTTGGGATTAAAAATAAACCGGTGACTTGGGACACCAAATAAATTATCCCAAGTGGCGACTCTAAAAGATAAATAAAATAATCCCATTTCGAATAATGTCACTTTGATTGGAAAAACTTCCTTATATACCCTCGGGTGGAGAAAAGGAGGTGTGACAAATACAGATGTCTCCGTACCGATCCCTTAGACTCTACTGAGCTTGTTCGTGAATTGTGAGACCTGTGTAACCTAGAGCTCTGATACCAACTTGTCACGACCCGGATTTCCCCACCCTCGGGGGTCGTGATGGCGCCTACTCGTAGAAGCTAGGCAAGCCACACATCATAACTCCTACCTACTTTATTTTAAATCATTTTATCAATCATAACAACAAGCGTTAAATATTTAATGACAGTGGAATATGTAATTTAAAGCGGAAGACTTAAATTAAATAAGCTGAACAATAATGCGGAATTCAACATGTGCCTCTACCCAAGAACTGGTGTCACAACATCCACGGACTACTAAGATTACTAAATACAATCGTTTGAAAGAAATATAACACTGTTTGTCTCGAAAACATGAGATAACAGAATGAAATATAAGATAGAGGAGATGTCGGGCCTGCGGACGCGTGCAAGGCTACCTCGGAGTCTCGGCGGACTGAAGGCTGGCTCCCGAGCTACTGCTACTGTCCGGGACATGGGTCTGTGCAAAGAGCACAGAGTGTAGTATCAGCACAACCAACCCCATGTGCTGGTAAGTGCCTAGCCTAACCTCGGCGAAGTAGTGACGAGGCTAGACAAGACTACCACATAAACCTGTACAGTTTTTTATATATATATATATATATACACAACGGGAAAATAACAAGATCAAACATTTTTAAATGGGAGGGGAACATGCTTCGGGGGTAGTAGATAATACAGAATTCCAAGAAAATAATAAAGAACATCAATAATTTAACTTTAACACGGATAAGGGAAATAAAAGCAAATTTCACTGTCAGTACATAGTTCGTCGCAGGCGTGCAACCTGATCCCATTTCTCAATAATCAAATCTCGTGGTAGGCGTACCACCCGCTCCCATTTCATTAAACCTCGTGGTAGGCGTACCACCCGCTCCCATTTCATTAAACCTCGTGGTAGGTGTACCACCCGCTCCCATTTCATTAAGTTAACAGTTCTTCCAAATGAAATTTACTCCAACAAACACAACAATTAATACGAATTCATAAGACATCAAGTACACAATAATTATGAATCACTGAGGAAGACAGGTAATGGCAAGTAGCAATTAATTATGGACTTTAAGGAGCAAATAGGCAATTTAATATTTAGTATGCTAAAGGTCAAGTAGCAATTAGGTCACATAAACATGTAGCAATTATAGCATAGATTCAAAGCATAATGTTGCACAAGGATACCTCGAGCCAATAATAACAAGTAACACAATAAAGGAAAATGCCCACATAAAGACTCACAGTAATAGTGGAATAAGACAATTAATGCACTTGAACCGATAACAACAAGAAAATCAGTAAATAGAAGTAAAGGACAACATAACTCAATTACCAGCAAAAATCAGGAAAAATCAAAGACAAGTGCACGGCATCACTCTTCGTGCTTTTACTCTCGTCCTCACCAAGCAATAATATAATGAAAACGTGCACGACAACACCCTTCGTGATTTTACTCTCTTTCCTCACCAAAGCAATTAGAATAATAAAATGTGCACGACATCACCCTTCGTGCTTTTACTCTCTTTCCTCACATATAATCAATAGAATTGGCACGGAATGGTACATCGTGCGTCACGGCATCACCCTTCGTGCTTTACACTCTTTCCTCACAATAGCAAACAATGCACGGCATCACCCTTCGTGCTTTACACTCTTTCCTCACAATAAACAAACAATGCACGGCATCACCCTTCGTGCTTTAACACTCTTCCTCACCAAAACAACAATCACAAACAAGGGGCAAGGGAATAAACAAGATAATAAAAGAAACCCCGGCAAGGGAACACAATTGAACAATTAAATCCCGGCAAGGGTACCACATCAATAATCTCAACATCCCGGCAAGGGAACAATTTAAATACTCTTTCTCTTCCTTTCACTTTTATTTCATATCTCACTTTACCACTTGAGCAAATGCTCCAAAGGGTTCAACTATTTCATATACGTTCACAATTGAAATATAACTTGAGCCAATGTTCCTTGTTGTTCATAGGTCACAATTTCCTTTCACAAGCTTTTCACAACAAATAGGGATCATCACCAAGACAAAAGAAATGCAACGAAGTCATGAAAATCACAATATAAGACTCACGGTCATACTTGACACCAACGTATAGATACTCGTCACCATGCCTATATGTCGTA